CCCCCCCCCCCCACCCCCCTTCCTAAACGAGACTTAGCGGCACCCAGTGGTTGGCACTTGTTTCCATTTACACACAATTCGATCAACGTCCTCTAACTACACATAGAGCCAAGCCCCATCGCAATTGGGACAATTTTTTATTAATTATAATACTTTGAAAAAAATAATATTTAAACAGAATACTTTGATTTGTTTCGTGTTATTGACATATCCATCAACGACAAAACTTAAATACAACGCTCTTTCATAATGTAACTGTATAAATTTTTTAACCCACGCATTATGTCATTAAAGTTTAGTGGGGAAAAACCATAGTTCAATGTAATTTCATGTTTTACTAAGCTCGGTATGAAACAGAAAGAATATATTTTATAACTGGGGTGTGGGATCGATTTACCTACACGTGGTGCACCCTGGGCAACGTAAACCCATACGGCAAAAAAGTCTATTAACCGGCAGTCGACTTCTGGCTTCAAACTACCACAGTGATCACCTTACCTTTTCTCTGCATTTGTGTCTGCCTTTGTGTCTGTCTGTCTCTTTTACATCTGTGAATCACTCTTCTGCCCCCTCTTCATTTTTATGACTTTGGTGTTCCTCTCCTCTGTGAAGCCCGAAGACAACATGTTACCAAGTGAATTTATTGAATATAATCTAATAAGCATAGTAATAGAATATACCCACCCACACAAGTGGTTTCTTCCATATTCAAATACATCATGAAGCTTCTCAAACTGGGGTGTGTGATAGACCTGCCTCCACGTGGTGCAACCTGGGTAACGTATACGCCCACGGCAAACAAATCTATAAACTGGCAGTTGACTTCTCACTCCAAACTATCATGACCCCACTACATGTCATATTCGACCCCTTCCACAATTATCATCTTACCTTTTCTCTACCTTTGCCATTTGAAATAAATACCTGACGACTGACGCTCATGATTCATTTCAATTTTTCAAACCCCTATTCAAATCTTAATTACTTGCCTTTTAATGAAGGATGTACCAGCAAAACCGGGGAAACAAACAATAAAATAAATATGAAGAAAGACCTTCAATCCGCACGAAAATTAGTGTTTAAATTCATAAATGAGCTTTGAAAATCAATAAGGGCAAAGTGCGACGTTATCGCTACCAATCGCATTGCCATGCTAGCTAATAGAGAGCAGCATTTAAAGCTTGCTCAATGATTAATTATTCAATAGTAGAAGGCGGATGGGAGTACAAAAGGTAGCCTACATTCAGTCAGAACAATTATGAGTCCGTTATCTAGTTGTCTATTGACAATATTAGGTCAACATCGCTCATTACACGCTTAGTTATAAGCCTAATTTACTTATAATTTAATTAAGCAACCAACGATTGGCACTTAAATAAGTCTGCTAATTTAAGGACACCGACAAAATCAATAAAGATAGCACTTGGATAGAGCTTAATATTATGTGATTACCTTGAGTGTACACGGCTTACAATTTTCACTTCATTTGGGGTGTTCGATGGACTTACCATCACTTGGTGCACCCTGGGCAACGTACACTCATACGGCAAAAAAAGTCTGACCTCAAACTACCACTTCCACAATACTCACCTTCCCTTTTTCTCTGCCTTTGTGTCAGTCTGCCTGCCTCTTTTACATCTTTGAATCACTCTTTTGTCCCCCCCTCTCGACTTTTTGTCACTTTGATGTTCCTCCTCCCCTCTGTGAAGCCCGAAATCAACTAAAGGGCTAATGATAACTATCATAATGACTGCCATTCGCAATAAATAAGTTTTCACTTCACTCTTCACGGCTATAAAGTAAAATATTAAGCTGAATGTTTGGTAATGTTGTCCTCTTAAGATAAAGCGAAGAGGTGGACCAAGTGTCAAATAGTGACATTTGACCTTTATAACGTGAACTGCTCATTTGACAAATATTGTACACCTCAAGTCTGAAATTAAATGTAGTAAAATTGGTGCATCTCGTTGAACCGCTTCTCTGTATCATTTGTTTCTCGATATAAATTGCTTTCACGCAATGAAAATACCACGGTAACGAAAATTTCTTATTACTGCGGGTAATAATAGCAGTAATAGTAATGAAACTTGGAAATTTTATTGAAAACTGTTTTCCTTCATCTGTCCAAATTTGAACAGGAAACTCACTCGAGAAGGCACTCATTCAAGGCGCATTAGGAAAGCCGAGTTGAGTAAAATTAATTAATGGAAATTTCAAAGCATCCGCCTACTCCTATTTATTACGACACAAGTCTTCTATTCATTTTTATTCAAATTTTTTTACCACCTGCACAATTTCGCTTTTCCTCTATGTGTGAAGAGAATCATAAGGTGTGTTTAAATATGCATTTAAATTTAAAATGGTAATTTACGAGGAGGCGAATTCATCCGAATAAACAATGAAAATTAAACTCGTTACATTGCATCTTAGCATACGACACCGCACAGTTTTGTAGCCCTCGTTACGCCATACTGTTGGTAACCATGACAACCACAGTTTGACCTTGATACGGAGAGAGTAGTCAAAGTATGAGCTAACAGTTCTAGTTAATTGATGGAACAAACTTTTGCTTATTCAAATAATACCACAGTATACTCGTATACAGTATGGGTGCATAACTAAAAGATTCTAATTAGACCTAGGTTATTGAAATGCTTAATAGTTCTACAATGTCAACATAAAGGTGCTCCGTTTTGAATTAAATATTGATTAATACAACTGAAAATTCAAGCAACGGCAAAGTAGGCTAGTTTGAAGACTCGGTTTAATTATTTTCTATTAGTTCTTCAAACTTGTGTAATTTTGATCACACATAACACACTTTTCATTAACGTTCCAGGAGCATTCATGTTGATTCATGCATCCCCGTTAAGATTCTACAAAAAGAAAAATAGCTTCAATCGATTCAACTTAGCTCCCCACAGGCCATTACTCACTGCTTCACTCTAAATTAGTATCTTTTTCTAATATATCCATGTCATCCACTCAACATTTGGTCTGCCTACTAGGATAAGACTGCTGTAACTCATTAAATTATAGGAAAATCAGTAAATTTTATTAGGGAGTATATTAAAGTTCAATTTAGTAGAGCTTAGTAGCATTTCAGAATGTAGTTCATGTGTAACACTCACGTGTGAAGAGAATTCATACATGGGGCTTTGAAGAAACACTCCAATATCCCTGCCTACACAGTAAATAGCTGAGTGTAAATTTAAGTATATTTTTTTCTTCCGACTGTTAAGTTCCAGTCTCTTGTTCAGTTCACAACTTGCTGACGTTCGGACTTCAACCGATGTGGATTAATGAGGATGATCAATAGTGCAAACGCTTTCGAACGAATCAGGCCTAGACCACCAACTTAGCATTATTTACTTCTTAAGGCTGTGTATTTTTCGTTAAGTTGAATTTAAACTAATTAAAGGAAATAATATCCTAAATCAAACATCACAAGATATTATGTGTTGTTATAGCGTTGTTCATATCCAAGCTTTGCATTTTTTAGTGAATGAAATTGAATCAACCACCCACCCACAATATTTATTATATTCGCAATTGTAATATCTTAAAACATCCATATTGAGCAACAAAATAATCTCGAAAATGGAAAAAAACACTACACCCACTGATTTTTAGTCACCGATGAAATTAAAACAAATCAAAAGCTATTTTTAGTCTAGAGTGATGAGGCATTTCTTTACTGCTCAATTATCTGCGGTCCAATACACGATTGGCAAATGGTTTTAAAGTTTTGAGTTCCAATTGCACAAATGCTCATTTTGTAATTATGTGAGCGGAGAAAATGAATGAATTGGTGGAAATTAAAACTTGCCAAATCTGTGGAGTTCACAACTCTATCAAGACTGAATAAACAACTGTAGGGATTGATTTATTGATTTCAGCGTCCTTTATAAGATAAGGGAACGCACCATTTAACCTTGGGGGAGACATGAATGCGTTGTTGAATTCAGACTTTATGGTCTGACTGGGATATCTAGGTCCATTGTTAGTCACAGCCTGACCTATTGCGATCCACGAGAACGGGAAAAAGATATTGACAGTGACAGAATACAGGAAGCAGGTGGGAGTAAAGTAATCGGTAAACTGAAAATCGAAATTTTAAAAGCATAGATGTTAGAAAATCAATAAATGTCTTATCTACCGAGGGTTGGACCAGTGCATCCTCCATCGATAACTTTTCAACAGTTCTGTGGAGCACTTAATACTACCAAGGTCGGCCAATGGGTTCTCATGCGCTCTCAAATAGCCTGGAACTTGAGGTCTTATTTCTGATCACGTGATCGCGAGTGACAACGTAGTGTAGTCCTAATTTGATTTTAATGAATAGGCTTTACGCCGGTGTTCTATAACTATGAACCATGCTTTCACTTTATTCGCCATATTTCCACAATACTATGAGGTACATTAGTTGACTATGTTGTTCAGCCACGGTATCATTGTGCCCTCCACAAATATTTAAGGAATTTAAAGAAATGGTAAAATATAGCGCATCTTAAGAAAATAAAAACTGTATAGCATTCATGGCTTAAAGTATTAAACGCAATTTTTTAATCATCAAATAAAGTTAATTGTAAAGAAAATTTATGCAAGAAAATTGGAGTATGTACAAGGAAAAAAATTCGCTCTCACTAAACACCAATGATTAAATATTTGTAAATTAGTCAGCTAAAAAACCACGCTTCATACTTGCTTAATGCTTGAAAATTATTTCCAATGAAGAATCATTCCAAGATTCTAAATCTTTTAATGCGCAGAATTGGTTTCGATTCGGACATTTTAGAAGACACTGTAAAGTGCCTATTTTTTCGAACTCATATCCCGATCTATTTTATTTAAGTGAGTAAAATAACAATAATCTAGATAATATACAGCAAGTATTTGTTTTACATGAAAATAGATATGTTGTACACCAAAATAACGTCATTGAATGAAGAGCTTGGATGAGTATTAGATGATAAAATCCATAGGGGAGAGGAGATAAACTAGTACAAAGGCATGGTACGATCCATACGCTTCCATTGGTATCTTCCAAGTCTAAAATAGCAAAAAACGAAAGGAAATGGAAGCTTGTCAATGTTAGTAGAAACGATCTCGTATTAAAACAATATACCTTTTAGTGAGTTCATCGAAGTAAAATTCGGGAATCAGTGTGATCTTTACTTCCACGGGAGCTATTTTCAAAAGCTCACGAATCTTCTTATCGGACATTCCAAGGCAGTTAATTCCATTTACTTCACAAATATATGTATGAGTAAGAACTCCATTCCTATAGGCACTGGAGCCTTCCACAACAGATTTGATCAATCCGTCTTCAATGAAAAGACCAACAGATCCATGACTGTCCTTTGTAAGCGTGAGCGCGCGTTCCAAAGGCCTAAATTTACCAAAATTTCACATAGTTAAGCAAGTGCATTTTCCTCAATGTATTCATGGACATAATTTGATTACCTATCACGAATAACTAAGGTAACAGTTTCTCCGCATCGCTTCTTCACAAATGTCATTGCCTTCTTGCCTTTCTTTCCAGCCATATATTCTTCATCAATCTTTAGGACTTGGTCACCAAATCTAAGGCCAGCAACAGCGGCTGGAGAATCACTTTCGACAAAGACGATGAAAACACCTGAATCCAAATTTTTAAGTTGAATACCAAGTAGGCCCCTTTTGTCCTTTTGTAAACGAACTTCGCGAACGTTTTGGGAGACTGTAATTGAATCTCTGGGAACAATTGCGCCAGCCGCTTGAACTGGAACAATGGAACCACAAGGCCTGGTAGTAATGGCATTATTCTCTGCAGTTGATTTTGACGAATCTAAATAATAGGGATTGCCAAAATCGTCATAGGCAACCCGAGAAAGATCGATGCCAAGAAAAGTAGTAGCCAAATCTCCATAACTGACACTTGCTTCAGGTGCACTGCTGACGGCGGCGATTACTGCATTTTCAAGGTTCTTTTGTGCTACGGCTTCTTTGCCAATCGTAAGAGATTCAATACTTGGATAGAGAGACATCTGTAGAGAAGAAAGTGTGTCAGTAACGGAATATAAATTCTTATGAAAGTTCATTATATCCCTTTAAACGCATTACTTTTTACATATCTAACTAAGATATATAAAAAAGAATAATAATTCAGTAAGATAATAAGTAGACACTTAATTGAAAACGGCACCATTAGTCAATATCAGATAAAATTATGGTTCATTATGGTGATGAACACAGCTATCAGTTATGACAATTACTACGAACTTACATTTTAGGGAAAGAACTAGCTGATGATTCGTACTTTGCAAAATTTAGAAATATATAGCCTTTTATAGGTCTTAGCCGAGTAAAACAGTTTAATGCCCTTTGATAAATTGATAAAGACAAATGAAACCAAATACATATTAACGGCCAAAATCATTACTTTCAAATATTAATTTAAGTTAGACGATATAATTTGATTGTGCATGTAAATTTGTTCATCAGCATGATGTAATACACAAAGAATTAAAATGATAGCATATTATTGAAGTTTTAATGAAAGAAACACTTTCTAAGGTTCAAATGTTTACTAATTTTATTGTTTCTCATCCATTTATTTAATCTACATAGTTTATTGTAAGAACAGCATGTGCATTGCATTTTGGGTCAATTTATAAATTAATTGCCCTTCGATCTAAGTTTATGGTACTAAGATATTCTAGAAACTACAAAGTCATATCGGTTAAATTATCTTTCCTGTCCGATATTTTACGAAACGCGTTTAATAAATTAGTCTTAGACAATATATTTATTAATTTGCTAAACGAGATAAAAAAATTTGTAGTACCTAATATCTTCCGTATAATATGGATAAATCTTTAGTTATTTTATTACTGAAATGAGGACAGTTGATATTGTAATTTATAAGCATCATATTTAAGATTAAAATAGGAAAGGTCATATAACATATGCAAAATTATTCTATTGACAATTAACGCCTAGATTGCGCAAATGCATCAAATTTAAAATTTGAATTTTGTATATCTAGACGTAAAAAAATAATGTTTTCATCGAAATACATGAAATCAAGTTATCAAAATGTACTAACTGTTCTAAGTGGTCATATTGCAGACATTTTAACTTTTTAAAAAATTTTATACGTCTAAATGATCGTAAAATTACCGGTTTGATAAAAGGTTTGGTTTAAATTGCCAATATTTTAGATACATGGAGTTTCAGAATTTCTCAATCCTTAAAAATTTGCTAGAAAATTTAAATTGCGTAGCCTCTCAGGACATCCCTCAAAATGTAATTCGTTGAATGAAATTTTTAACTTTTTTATCAAAACATATTGGCGAATTTCCTATAATTTGGTCTAAATCTGTCCAGTTTATGCAGTCAGTTTAAATATTCAAATGAATAAAAAAGCTATTAATTGATTGTGTATTGTGAAATTATTTATTTGAATAAAACTGAGAATCTTTTTATTTCAAAACAAATTTAATTGTGCTTTTCATGATATTTGATGTAGTTTCTGTAAATTGCTTCAATGACGAGCTATAAAATAATTGTCTTTAGGAGACTGAAATTTGCGATAGATAAAATGAATACAACAAATACCATCGCCGATATTATTTGTTCGATGACAATCGACTATGAGTATGAAATTAACAAATTTCAACATAAAAAATTGACTTAACACTTACTTGTTTTATTGAATTCTATCGCTTATGGTTACATTTTTAGTTTGTTGGGTTTTAATATGTAATATTTTCAAAATGGATTAACTATATTTTTGTTTACTCTAATGCTTTAGTTTTAATAATATATTATCTACTTGAGCTATAGATTTCATACCACCAATTTTCATGAAGCATGTGGGAGTCAATGCAACAAAAGAAACATTTGGACTTTGGCCATGTTCTTTGGATGCTGAATTGTTCAAATATCTGCTTCCCGTAGAGATACAATTGTTTGGTTCTTCTAAATATCAAAGCAATAACCAGAGGTGTCCTAACAAACAGGACAGGCCAAAATACACCAAATGCATCGTTCGTCTAATGAGCAACTAGTATACAAAGTTCCAAGTTCATAGAAATGTTCCACATGAGATATTTAGTTCCATATATTTCTTCGGTTTATAAACAACTGTTAGTATACTTCAGTTGCCAAATTTGATTCCTTTTTAAAAAAATCCTGAAAATAGCCGCAGCATTAATTTTTTAGGTTTATTAGAAACTAAGTAGAATACATTAGACGCCCTGAAAGCATGTCAGAATTAATGATTGATTGCAAAACGTTATAAAATAATCAATAAAGTTAGTTCAAAGTTGCACGAAAAGTACAAGGCTATAGCCTTGGAAGCGTACGATCCATGGTTTTGAATTGAGTTGAACCAAGTCTAAAAAATTAGAAAAAACATGTCAAAAACCAAAATTTTGAATGGCTAAGGAAATATGGACGATCAGAAAACACACATTTTTGATAGATTTTTATAGAAGAAACCAGGAATGACGGTAATTTTTACAACAGGGCCGGCCGCTCTGATGATTTCCTGAATTGTGCTATCCTTCATCCCAAGAACATTGAAGCCATTTATTTCACAAAGATGACTGTTTATTCGAACTCCATTCCTCTCAGCACTGGAACCTTTGACAATATCTTCAACAGCCCCATTATAAATCATAATTCCAAGAATACCGTGGCTGTTCCTTGTAAGAGTAAAGACACGCCCTAAAGGTCTGAAAATGGACAGCAAATAAACGAGCCTTGATCATATTCATTTCCAATAGGGTTTGATCAAAATCGAAAGCTTAATAACCTGTCACGAATTGTAAGTAAAACAGATGTTCCACACTTTTTGTCAATGAATTTCATGACTTCTTTGCCTTTCATGCCGGCAACAAATTTTTCATCGACTCTCAGAATTTGATCACCAAAACGAAGACCGGCTTGGAAAGCAGGGGAGCCATCTTCAACGTTACTAACAAACACACCGCCATCGAGTCGTTTGAGTTGTAGACCCAGGTGGCATTTTGTGTTCTTTGTGACAATTATCTCTCGAATGTGTTGAGAAATTTTAATTGGATCCCTGGGAACAATAGCTTTAGACGCCTGGATGGCAGTGATATCCCTAGATGTTAGGGCAGGGTTAAATGGAGTACTAGTTTTGGGAGAAACAACAGTAGAGTTTGAATCCGTATCAGTATCAATCGGGTTACCGTAATCATCGTACGCAACCTTGGAGAGGTCAACACCTAGATATTTGAGAGCCAGTTCTCCATAATTAACGGTCGTTTTTAAAGTAGGAGGAGGTATGGATTCTGAAATCGTATTCGATTCTAATTCCTTGCCGATGACATGAGTTTCAAGGCTCGAATAAAGCGGCATCTGTGTCAATAAAGTAATTCTGAAAATGTACTGATAAAAGCAAATGCTATGACAAAATTTTCGAGAGTTGAAAATAAAGCATATGAATATTTACGTGAATTTTAGAAGTAATAAAAATCCGTTTAATATGAAAAAAATATAATTCAAAAATTTATTGGATATTGCAAACAGTCAAGTAATAACTGCTATAAATGTGTTACAGAACATAAGATGCATGGACTTTTAAAGGTAGCACCTGTGTGTGAGGTTAAATAAGGATTGGTACAAATGAATGAGAAAAACAAAGCATTATAACATTATAATCTGGCAACATACACGATAAAATTTGATATTAAATATCTGCAATCCATTGTTTAAAATTTTCCTAATAACTGGATTAGGATTTATCTAATTCACTATCATTTTAATATAAAATTATAAAAGGGTAGAGTCCCAATAAGTATAGTTAAGTACTTATATTTATAAATAATTCCAGAAATTCAATTATGTATATATACATTTGCTTATTCAGATGTAAGTTTTTACCCAATAATAAAGTAAAGTGAGCAAATTTCAAGCAAATTTAATCATTTGCTAAAGTATTGAAAAGGCTTTTTCTTATCAAAATAATAAATGTACAAATAACTCTCCATTCGGAAAACGATTTACTTTGATTCTGTCAACAGTTCATGATTAAGAGATGTAAACTTACTCATAAAATTTCCACTCTGTATTCTTATATTAGTATATTAATTCCGTTTTTAAAATTGTTTTTTTAGTTAGTTCCATTTATTGACTTCTAGGAGTATAAATTCACTCCATTGCAAATGATTGAGAACCGGAATTCGCTGTTGTGCAAAACCAGAGACCCGCATGTGTTAGCCATATGTAAATCAGTTTATGTAAAGCAAAGCATTGTTCAACGCTTATTTTCAGTAAAAGATAGTCGATTCTATGTATATTTCCACCTATTTTTATCCAGATATAGAGTTTTAATTTATTCGATTTGAGAGTAAAGTGCAGAGCCATAATTCAAGAAGTATAAAGACTCACTTCGCAATAATAGTTATTTCCATTCCCATTACACCGTAGGCGAAGTATCTCTGCTTAGTTGACATTCGCTTTTGAACTAGATCGATAAAAGTGAGAATAAAAATCAACTCCAAGCGTGTTCATGGCACTTATAAATCGAATTACGATTCATCACGTTCATCATACGAATTAGGAGCACTCAAGAACTGGCTGTATCTCCATTTGACAATATCACTATTTAACCTTTTGCTAATTCATTCTTGTATTTGTTTATTAATCTTAACTTTCATATTCCCGAATTTCTTGAGAGGCATCTACTAAGAATTAATTACTATGAAGCACTCTACATGTAACTACAAAGTATCAAACGAGGTTCTAAGGAACACACACACACACAGTCACTATCAATCTGTACAAACGTGCATAATTAATATATGAAACCATTTTCAACAATTGAGTCTTTTGTTGCACAAATACAAATAAGTGTTTCGTAAGTATATACAGAATAAATATAATAGACTTTAGACAAATATCAAGCGGCGTATGCAAGTTTTCTTATCGAAGGCTGAAGTTTAAAGGCCACTTAAGTTAAATAAAGGCAGATCCTGTACAGAAGTTCAGGCTTTCAAGTTGGAAGAGAAGTATCACTGTAAAAAGACGAGAAACGCGGTTAAATAAAGTTTACTTTTTAATATTATGATAATTTTTTTGTTTTTTTAAATAATGAATACCTAAAAAAATATGGTAAAGTTACAAGTGGTTGATCTATTTGAACACACGCCTTGAGTTGTTTAAAGGCAAGGTTTAATTCCAAATTTAGAAATTTGCTTATCTTTCTTTTGAAACATTTTAAATTTTTTTTCAATAATTTGAACGCGCTTAATTGGTTAGGCTAGCGGATTTAATTTGTTAGGGTGGAATATCATAAAATTGTTATGGATGAAAGCGAAATTTCCTCAGGGAATTGGGGCGAGTAAAATTGACCACAGTAAGGGAGCTCCATTGCACTCTAGAGCATCGTAAAGCAGATGTAGATTATTATTATTATTTTACCAGTGCATAAATAAATAACGAGAGAGGGGGAGAGAGAGACGGTGGGAGGGTGGGCGGGAGGGCGGTGGTGGGAGGGGATGTCATGTGCAATTGTTGACGCTTGGTGCTATAATTGTATTGCGGTCTGTCCACTAATTATCCTGATGACGGAATGCAACTCCTATTCCAACAATATAAAATCATATACCTTATATAGTATTTTGTGTTTCTTAGGTAACCCATGATTCGGCAATACTCATGCACTCATGTGGTAGTTCTAACTATTCACTCATTAAGTCTGGTATTGTTGTAAAGAGTTCAGAAACACTTGCAAATAATTCGATTTGGAAAGGGAGAATTTTTATTAAAATGGTTTTATTAGAAGATGTGAAACATATATTCAATATGTTATTATAAGAAAATGGCTATTAAAATCGTGAGTATGGCTCTAATTCTTTACCACGTAATGTCAAATTTTCACTCCGAAGTATTTATCCCCTCAACGGATTGTGTAATGCAGTAAGCACTGCATTAATATTCGTCCTTTTGAAATGCTTTCTATCATTACTGATTGCTTTTTCAGTATATGTTAAGCTTCAAAGTGTTTTCGGTATAGTTATAAAAAATCAGAACAAGATAAACTGTAGCAGAGTTAAGACTACGTATCGGACACGATTGTCTGGCGAAGCACCTTCACAGAATAGGAGTATACGCTCAACACACATGCTCACTATGTGACCCTACAGAAGGAAATGGGGAAGACCTATCTGACTCGGTGTCCAGCCCTAAAGACAACGACGGAAACCCAGAGATACTGGGAAGCCAGAAGTCAACTAATGAACTACTGTTAACTATCCTAATGCTTAAATATATGTTCCTTGTGGTGGGATGTGCGATAGACTTACCTCCACGTGGTGCACTCTGGGCAACGTATACTCATACGGCAAAAAGGTCTATTAACTGTCAGTTGACTTCTCACCTCAAACTACCATGACCCCACTGTATGCCATATTCTACTACTTCCACAGTAATCATCCTACCTTTTTTATGCCTTTGTGTCTGTCTGTCGCTTTTACATCTGTAAACCACACTTGTGTTCCTCACCCCTCGACTTTCCGTTACTTTGATGTTCCTTCCCCCTGTGAAGCCCGAAGTCAACTAAAGGGCTAATGATAACTATCAAAACGCCTGCCATTTGAAATAAATAAATGTTCCTTGTGATTATTTATTGATTATGGGTCTGCCCATACAAATACTTGCATTGTACTACATGTAACAGTTGTTTGTTTTCAGCTGTTTGCTTTAATCTTGCCTCCAACAATTCGTTTCAGGTTCATTGGCTTCTATAGTTTGGTGACCCTCAATTCCTGTACTTCCGAAAATTTAGTTAGGCACTCTGGGAGTATACGCTCAACCCACATGCCTCACTTTTAGAACCTAGAGGAGGAAATGGGGAAGACCCATCTGACTTGGTGTCCAGCCCTAAAGACAACGACAGAAACCCAGAGATACTGAGAAGTCAGAAGTCAACTAATGGGCTAATGATGACTATCCTAAAGCCTGCCATTGTTTTGAGTCCAATACTTTTTAATGCGCATTCTTGAGATTTGCTTATCATCGTTAGTGTTGGAATATTTTTTCGGTTTCAAGAAAGCCTTTCCTTCACAAAATTAGCTGCAACTAAAGTCAAATGAATCCGGAAAAGACATTTTTTGGAACATGTTTTTTTTCAAAAGTTGCCTACAGAAGCGCCGCTTTCACTAAAACAAAAAAACCCTCTTCGGTAGGTTTTGTGGCTTTTGATGTGTACAAAACTACCGAATCTGCAGGCGAGCATGCGTGGTTATTGACTGAAATAGGAGGAGGGGGGGGGGATTTTATTTTCACCGAAATTTCTTCTGATAAGAAAGCTTTTAAGGTATATTTCACTTAGAAAGTTCCTTTCGATTGAATAGTAGTGCTCAAACTCTACTCAAAGTAATGGAAAAATGACGTGAAATGCACAGATCTTTCCATGATAATTGATCGATCAGTTTATAAGGCCTGGAGTTTGTGGGTAAGAATTTCGTCCCTAAACCGACGAGTAACTTAGGAAATTGGAATTTGGGATCCATAGAGTAAGTACCCTACGACCCGAATACAATGATCAAATGTAGGGATTCTTTCATCTCAACCTTTCTGACTCTTATCACTTATTGCGCAGCAAACTTTATGTTACAATCTGATTAAGCCGCTAAATATCCATAAATCTCTGTATTCAATAAAAACACAGAGTTATCCATACTACAAAATTGTGCAAGCCAATGACTCTGTAAAATTCGCACAATAACTAACAACGATTCATTGAAAACATGTTGAATTTACTTCAACAATTTACTTACCCCAATTTTCTGGACTTTTTTCTTTCCACAAAAACTTGTTACGGGCTAAAATAAGAAAGATTTTTTCGATGTAAAGCTTAGTGCAATTTAGCAGGGATTAAGTGTATTACGCAAATATAAATTTAAATTTCAATAGCAATGCTTTTTTTCAAAATCTCTATTTTATCCAGTTGCAATACAATGAAATGTCATCAAAGCGTGATTCTGGGCATTTATATGCCTTAAATTTCAATAAAATAGGACCGCATACTTAGAGTAAAGATGATAAGTGATTAGCTAAGGACATTTTTTCATTGATTATTTTGGCGAATCTAGTTTTTAGAGCAAAATGCTAAGAATGCAACTGTTCTAGATCATATCACATAGGTCATCCAATTCTTCCATGCTAGAGTTTTAAACAATTCATTTAAAGAGGGATTATAAAACCACAAAAAAACAAACTAAACGACTTTCATTGTTAATAATAAACTGTTAATGTTATTATTAAACTTTGAAGGTAAACACTTCTGGGATATTGTAGGGAATATGTCCACTTCAAGACATTCATGCTTCGAAATGGTAATAAGTGGAGTGTTAAAAATCAAACAAAGTATCTATAATACCAAA